AGTTTTTGCCTGTTTGATTACTACGTGTCTTGGCATGTTTCTCCTTGGGTTCATCCTGCCTGGGACTCTCTGTGCTTCCTGAACTTGGGTGGCTATTTCCTTTCCCATGTTAGGGAAGTTTTTCACTATCATCTCTTCAAATATTTTCTCAGGTCCTTCCTCTCTCTCTTCTCCTTCTGGAACCCCTATAATGTGAATGTTGTTGTGTTTAATGTTGTCCCAGAGGTCTCTTAGGCTGTCTTCATTTCTTTCCATTCTTTGTTCTTTATTCTGTCCCATGGCAGTGAATTCTACCATTCTGTCTTCCAGGTCACTTATTCATTCTTCTTTTTTTTTTTAATTTTAGAATTTTATTTATTTTTTTATACAGCAGGTTCTTATTAGGTATCCATTTTATATATATTAGTGTATATATGTCAATCCCAATCTCCCAATTCATCACACCACCACCACCCCACCCCTACCACTTTCTCCCCTTGGTGTCCATACATTTGTTCTCTATATCTGTGTCTCCATTCTTATGCCTCAGTTATTCTGCTATTGATTCCTTCTAGTGTATTTGTCATTTCAGTTATTGTATTGTTCATCTCTGTTTGCTTGTTCTTTAATTCTTCTAGGTGTTCTTTAATTCTTCTAGGTCTTTGTTAAACATTTCTTGCATATTCTCGGTCTTTGCCTCCATTCTTTTTCTGAGGTCCTGGATCATCCTCACCAACATTATTCTGAATTCTTTTTCTGGAAGGTTGCCTATCTCTGCTTCATTTAGTTGTTTTTTCTGGGGTTTTATCTTGTTCCTTCATCTGGTACATAGCCCTCTGCCTTTTCATTTGTCTATCTTTCTGTGAATGTGGTTTTTGTTCCCCAGGCTGCAAGATTGTAGTTCTTCTTGCTTCTGCTGTCTGCCCTCTCACAAAGTAACTGACTTTTTCAATAAACTTCCAGTAGGCACCAAGGGTAAAGTATGAAACTCCTTATTAGTTAAAATGGGTAGTAGGTGAGTTCCTGTCATCCTAAAGCTGGAGACAATTTTTGCTTGACCTCAAATGATGAAGCAGTGAAAAGCTCTACTATTCAACTCAAAATGGAGTTCATTGGTCATTTGAAGAAGAAGGCAAAGGATCATTGCCATCCAAGGTTCAATCAGGGAAACTGGAGTCAGAAAACATCCTGCAGATATGATGAAGATTTCTAACTGAAGTGTAACCTAGGTGTCAGCTTGGTGATCTAATTAAATTTGACTCAAATCCAAGTTCTATAGCTTTCCTCCAAAACGTCTCACATTTCCTTCAAGTTCTCAGGACTTACTTCTACAAAGTTGCACTCCATTTCTAAACTCCCTCAAAAATAAGAACAAATTCTCTTTGTTTCATATTAATCTGCTTCTGTAAGAAATCCACTCCAATCCTCTTGATCTTTCCTGTCCAGTGTGGTAGCTACTAACCACATGTAGCTGTTTAAATTTAAATTTAATTGACAAAATTAAATAAAATTTAAAATTCAACTCTTCATTTTCACTAGCCATATTCCAAGTGCTCAATGGCCATATGTGGTTAGTGGCTACTGCATTGATAGCACACTTTAGGACATATCAATCATTGCAGAAAATCTTATGGGGCATTTGTACTAGTGTGTCATGAATTGATGTGTGCTTACTGAATATTTGTGGACATATGTCAAGAGGCCATATTTCTACTTTCCATCAGAAAATTCACTTTGATCTAAACATTTTTAACCACTTTCTCTTTTCAACAATGTACCATCTGTCTATAGAGATATATCAGTGTACATGCTTCCACTTGAAGGAGTTTCTTAGGAAGCAAAGTAGAATCATCACATAGATGACAATAAGATGTTTTCAAGTGGGTTTAGAGCATGAATTTTTCCAAGAGAAGAAGTAAAACATTTCTCCCTGAGAAAGTGGTAAATGTCAAAAAACCAACAAAAAACAAGCAACAAAAAAAAGTTAAGTGAAGCTTTTGTCTGGGAAAAAGAAAGATATGAGTGAGCTTGTTTGTTCTCTAGAAGAAAACATCTAAGAAGAAAAGGGGCAGGTTTGGAAGCAACTACTCTTTCTTAGGTCACTGGTCAGATTAGCACTAAAACCTCCTCAGCAAAAGGTTATAGAGATGAGGTAGGCATGATCCCAGACCTGAAGTAGCTAAAAGATTTATTATGAATCAGGCAGAAAACAGAATTTAAATATAGGTATGTGCTCTTCACTGAGTGATGCTGGGAAAACTGGGCAGCTACATGTAAAAGAATGAAATTAGAACACTCCCTAACACCATACACAAAAATAAACTCAAAATGGATTAAAGACCTAAATGTAAGGCCAGACACTATAAAACTCTTAGAGGAAAACATAGGCAGAACACTCTATGACATAAATCACAGCAAGATCCTTTATGACTCACCTCCTAGAGAAATGGAAATAAAAACAAAAATAAACAAATGGGACCTAATGAAACTTAAAAGCTTTTACACAGCAAAGGAAACCATAAACAAGACAAAAAGACAACCCTCAGAATGGGAGAAAATACTTGCAAATGGAGCAACTGACAAAGGATTAATCTCCAAAATATACAAGCAGCTCATGCAGCTCAATATCAAAAAACCAAACAACCCAATCCAAAAATGGGCAGAAGACCTAAATAGATATTTCTCCAAAGAAGACATACAGATGGCCAACAAACACATGAAAGGATGCTCAACATCACTAATCATTAGAGAAATGCAAATCAAAACTGCAATGAGGTATCACCTCACATCAGTCAGAATGGCCATCACCAAGAAATCTACAAACAATAAATGCTGGAGAGGTTGTGGAGAAAAAGGAACCCTCTTGCACTGTTGGTGGGAATGTAAATTGATACAGCCACTATGGAGAACAGTATGGAGGTTCCTTAAAAAACTAAAAATAGAACTATCATATGACCCAGCAATCCCACTACTGGGCATATACCCTGAGAAAACCATAATTCAAAAAGAGTCATGTACCACAATATTCATTGCAGCTCTATTTATAATAGCCAGGACATGGAAGCAACCTGAGTGTCCATTGACAGATGAATGGATAAAGAAGATGTGGCACATATATACAATAGAATATTACTCAGCCATAAAAAGAAATGAAATTGAGTTATTTGTAGTGAGGTGGATGGACCTAGGGTCTGTCATACAGAGTGAAGTAAGTCAGAAGGAGAAAAACAAATATTGTATGCTAACACATATATATGGAATCTTAAAAAAAATGGTTCTGAAGAACCTAGGGGCAGGACAGGAATAAAGACACAGACGTAGAGAGTGGACTTGAGGACACAGGGAGGGGGAAGGGTAAGCTGGGACGAAGTGAGAGAGTGGCACTGACATATACATACTACCAAATGTAAAATAGATAGCTAATGGGAAGCAGCCGCATAGCACAGGGAGATCAGTTCGGTGCTTTGTGAGCACCTAGAGGGGTGGGATAGGGTGGGTGGGAGGGAGACGCAAGAGGGAGGACATATAGTGATATATGTTTATGTATAGCTGATTCACTTTGTTATAAAGCAGAAACACAGCATTGTAAAGCAATTATACTCCAGTAAAGATGTTTTAAAAAAAAGATAAATACGTAGTATGAATAAACTGCTTATCATAGTGCCTGACAGCAAGAAAGCACTTTGTACATGGAAGCTGGTGACAGTGGTAGCAGAAGTACCAACAGTGGCATTGTTACTGACCAGGGTTCTTGGCTTCCTTAATCAATAGAAATTCATCAGAGGCCAGACAAGAAATTCAGGCAAGGCTTTATTAGGGACCCTGCTGCAGCAGGGGGTAGCGGAGAACAAACAACAGGTCCCCTTGCTTGCTCGTTCCCTGAGTGGAGGCGAGCTTGTTCCTTATATGCGGTGAGGGTAGGGGTGTGTCCAGGGGTTGGGCTAGAGGGGTGGCTTAGGTGTTTTGCTCACCCCTTAGGTGGTGTTGTGTACAGGGGGCATGTGCAGTACCCTGCTTTTGCTCCTGACCCCCTGCTTTTGCTCCATGCTCTTCAAAAGTGGCAGTTGGGTTTTTTGGTCTCTTTGTATCTTTTGTCCAGAATTTGCACCAGCTGAGCATGCATGCAGTTATGTTTACTCCCATACAGCATTTTTGTATTTTGTTGCTTGAGGAGAGGTGTGTCCAGGTGCAAGCATTGCAGCACCGGAGCAAAGGGTCCCAGATCCCAGCCTGTCTCAGCATAAAGGCGTTCTTTTTATTTAACATCAAATGATGTTTGTATTTCTAAAGGTGGTAGAAGATGAGGTATTTAAGCACATGAGTGTCTATGTTGTTTGTTCCTAGTACATTTGATGTACCGCTTTGTTACCAAACCCAGGTTCGGTTGCTTCTTGCACAAGAACCAATAATTCGAGAGGCAAGTGTCAGTAGAAAGGAAAGGTGCTTTAATCAGAAAAGCCAGTAATCTAGGGAGAAGGTGGACTTGTGTCCAGAGACCAACTCTGAAGATTCTGCTCAGCCATGACAGTTTTGAAAGGAGAAAAAGGAGGAAGAATCTCAATGAATCATTGACAGAGGAAGTTGGATTCTGCATCATTCCCCATTGCTTGCAGACTGGCTGACTCTTCAGATGTTACCTTGGCTGTGTGGTCAGACTGCAGGATTGCTAAGGGGACTGTTGAGAATAGAGAGCTTGTCATTTTTTAACTGCTTCATTCTTACTTCTTACTTCTTTTTATCTAGGAAAAGAATCAGCAAGTTAGACAAGACACAGTGTGCATTCAAGAGAGCATAAGTCAGGAGTTAGGTTACATTGCCTAGTGAGCTCTTTCCTCTAATTAAGTTCTTTTAAGGTTAAAGGGGAACAGAAATGGGCAAACAGGAAAGGGACAAAAGAGCTGTTTTCACCTTGAAACCTTGCCTGCTGTGCCTCAGCTGGGTGAGTCAATGTCCACCATTCACAGATACAAAGCATAGCACAAGCAAAGGATCTATGTCAATAATGAGCGTCGTGTTCCAAGATGGAGCTGGGGCTTCTGCACCGGAAGCTGTGTCTCAATAGGGCCACAAGACCAGGTTGTGAGCGCTTTTAAATGTCAAACTGAGCGGAGAGCTTATCTGAAAGCAATAGGAAGCCCCTGGAGATTTATAGGCAAGAGATGAAGTGGAACAGAAGAGTGGGGCAAGCAAGTGACAACAGTGTCATCTCAGTAGGGAGAGAGGAAATGCTATGTGACCACAAAAATGTCTGTGAACATGCACTGGGGGTGGAAAGACCCCTGTACCCACCAAGAGCATTGGAGTGCAGTCACACTGGCACAAAGTCCAAATTTCCTAGCTTGGCATCCCCTTCATCATCTGGGTCCTCTGTGTTTCCAGACATCTCCGCTTCTTCAGAAACCTCAGTTTCAGTGATGTGGCCCATTCACCAGCCCACTAGCCAGAGGAGCTTGTGCCTTTCTTGATCATAGCTTCCCTGGCTTCTGGGCCCTGAATGTCCCTTCTCTTCTACAGTGCTTGCTTGCCAGATGCCCTACAGTTAAGGCAAACGTAAGTGCTTGCTCTTGCTGCCACCATTCCTCTGCTCATCCGCCCCCTTCGCCTACAATGTCCCCCTCCCCTTGCTACTGACTTTCAGCCCCCCTATTCTCAAGTTCCAGACAAGTTGCCATCTAACCTGTCCTGCATCCCCCTAGCCAAAACACCACTCCCTCCTTGTAATACCTAAAACTACCAATTTATGCCCCTCATCCACTCTTGTGAGGTCTTGAATTATAGCTGTTTGATCGTGCTACCAGTGTGGGAATTCTGCTAGTTGCTGAGGATGTCTGTTCCAATTATGTATTCCATAACCAGGGAGATTACTGCAGGATGGGCTTGGGGACCCACTGGGTCCACTGTGAAGTAGTCCTGAGCTAAAACACCATTGATCACCCGACCTCCATAAACCCCTACTCTGTCTGGCAGACCACAGTGATGTTTGGGGTCTCCTGGAATTAGTGTCAGTTCAGAGCCAGTGTCCAGTAATCCTCAAAGAGCTGATTACCTCCTTTCCCCCAATGCACAGTTACTCTGGTAAAAGCCCACAGTCCCCTTTGGAGAAGGCTACGAGAGAGATTAACAGTATAAAGATTCGGCAGCAGGGAGGGATCCTTCCTCCAGGGCACTTAGCCTTCCCTCCATTCAAGGGGAGCCAGGTCTTAAACTGGCTCAAGCGTGGGAATTGCTTCCTTTTGCCACCATGACTTGTAATTGCCTTTTGTTTGTGTGCAGCCATCATCCTGAGACCTAGCTGTGCTACTGGATGGTTTTACTACAAGTCCTGTTGCTAGGGATACTTCCAGAAGCTGAAGAACTGGTCTGATGCTAAGTTAAGAAATCTGGCCCTTGCTTGGAGAGGCTTCTCTAAAGCAAGGGGCCACCTAAAGCTCCAGGTATCATTCAACTCAGAGCCAAGGGTCCTTCCTTGGCATCCTGAGAAGTAACCTGGCTGGTGCAATGGAGAGTAGAGGGTTATGCGCTCAACTCCTTGAATCGTGTAAGCATTGATGGAGCATGTGCTATAGGCCCAGACCCTGGATGGGCTGCAAAGACATGAGGATGAGCAAGGAACAGCCTGCCCTCAAGGAGTTCACTGTCAGGGAGAAAGACAGAAAGACATAAATCCAAAGACGATGAGATGAGGAACTTACAGAAAGAACAACTGAATTGCCATACAAGATTTACCAGCAAGAGAGCCGTGTGTAGACAGCCTCAGAGCCACCTGACGGAGAGCGAAGCATTCCAGACAAATGCAAGGCCTCACTGTCTCCATAACCCAACAAATGTATTGGTTCTATTTCACTGAGGCTTTTCTAAGAGATACCCACATAGCCAGTCAGACTGAGTTACCTCAGAGTGTTGGGAGTCGTGCTGCTGTGTCTCTGAATTGTGGTTGTTAAACTGAAGTGACTGACCGGGAAGTTATGTGGGGAAATGAGGTATGATCTGGGCCCAGAATGGCCTCAGAATCCCTGTAAATCAATAACTCAGAATGAGGAAGCACCTATCATGTGATAGCTACTGAGGATGCAAAGATCTTTTCTGGCCTTAAAAAGTGCAGAACTGGGCTTCCCTGGTGGTACAGTGGTTGAGAATCTGCCTGCCAATGCAGGGGACACAGGTTCGAGCCCTGGTCTGGGAAGATCCCACGTGCCACGGAGCAACTAGGCCCGTGAGCCACAACTACTGAGCCTGCGCATCTGGAGCTTGTGCTCCATAACAAGAGAGGCCGCGACAGTAAGAGGCCCGCGCACCGTGATGAGGAGTGGCCCCCGCTCGCCGCAACTGGAGAAAGCCCTCGCACAGAAACGAAGACCCAACACAGCCAAAAATAACTAAATAAATAAAATAAAATTAAAAAAAGTGCAGAACTGATGCAAGATTGTGACATTTAAACAAAAAATTGCAATGCAGTATGAGCATAAGCGACTTTCCCAAGATTACACCGAGAATAACCAGCAGAGCAAACCCAGGGAAGTTGGCCCCAATGCAATGCTTTCCTAAGCAGATGTGAATGCTAGCAAAAAATAAAAAAAGAGCCAAACACAGAAAGGGCCTCCCGGATTCTGTCCACTGAAAGAAGAAAAAGCTCATGGACAGCAGTGGACTTCTCCTCAGTTCTTGGGAAGCAACTTGGAGAAATCCTGGACAGATGTTTGTACTGCCTGTCCCTGGAGAGTCCAACACTAATCCTACCAAAACAAAGAAGAAGACATCTGGGGGGCTTTGGAATAATATAGACCTGAGTTTAAATCACGCTCTGCCATGCATTAGTTGCAGCTCTACCTCGCTTTACCAGTTTTCTTCTGTAAAATGGGGATAACACTTTTATCCCATGGGGTTGTTGGGAGGATTCATGAAAAGAACTTGCAAAAAGCCTGTGGCACATGGTGGATGCTCAATTCAGGTTTTCAAGGCAAAAACGATCCACATGATTGATACCAAGCCTTAGCACAGTTAACCACTCCTGAACCAGAGTGCAAAGAAGGTGCCAGGAAGGACCAGAGAAATTGACACCACGGCTGCTGTGCTCCTTGGTTCCTAGCTGGCATCTTAGTTCACAAGACTCCTGGAGGTGATGGAGGTGGCAGTTAAAACGACAGGAAGACCCGATCTTGGACCGAAGAGGCAGCGCTCTGAATTCTAGCTGTGTGAACTGACAGGAAAGGGAAACATCATTTAAACAGACGGAGCCTGTTGCCTCTTCTGTCCCAGGAATCTTTTGTAACTGGTGCACTCACTACACATTGACTGGTAATCCAGCTTCCGTGCATCACAAATTTAAAAGTCAAATGAAATTACAGGTATATGGATGGACCTAGAGTCTGTCATACAGAGTGAAGTAAGTCAGAAGGAGAAAAACAAATACCGTATGCTAACACATATATATGGAATCTTAAAAAAAAAAAAAAAAAAAAAGAAAGGTTCTGAAGAACCTAGGGGCAGGACAGGAAGAAAGACGCAGACGTAGAGAGTGGACTTGAGGACAGAGGGAAGGGGAAGGGTAAGCTGGGACGAAGTGAGAGAGTGGCATTGATATATATACACTACCAAATGTAAAATAGATAGCTAGTGGGAAGCAGCCGCATAGCACAGGGAGATCAGCTCGGTGCTTTGTGACCACCTAGAGGCCTGGGATAGGGAGGGTGGGAGGGAGACAGAAGAGGGAGGAGATATGGTGATATATGTACATGTATAGCTGATTCACTTTGTTATACAGCAGAAACTAACACAACACTGTAAAGCAATTATACTCCAATAAAGATGTTAAAAAATAAAATTGAAATTAAAATTAAAAAAAGAAATTATGGGTATAAATACATTCTGGTATTATCAACTGGTTGGTAAATTATCATTAAGCAGTCACCACATCTAATCCTGAGCAAGTCCAAAGGCAAACATGAGAGTGGCAACCACAGCCAAAACCATGTTTTTATTAAATTAATTTGTGTTATGATGTAGGCAGATCCTGTAACACAACCCCAAAAGAGCATAAAGTATATAGCTCTGTCTAGCTATAAAATGTGCATATATAAAATGATTTCTTTATTTGGGCAGTAAGTGTCTTGTTAGAGAACAGCACAATTTACAGTCAGTGGTTTCTTAGGTTTGTTGAAGTGCAGTATTATAATACATAATTATAATAATTCTATCCTCTTAACAACTCCTTTGTGTAGCCCTAATTATTTCCTCCATTTACAGATAAGGAAGAGAGGTGAAGTGACTTGTCAAGGTCACATACACTAAAAACAGGCAAGATCAGGACCCCAGGCACTTCCATTTACCCTAAAGCTCGTGCCCTTGCCTCGAGCTGCCTCCCCCTCTGAGGCCTGACACCTGTGACAGTTGTGTTTTCTCCCAAGGTGACAGGAAGTCTTCTGTGGGGCTCAGATCCCAAGGGGAGGTGGGGGCTGTGTGTGCCCATGCTGCCTGGTGCCCTAGGGTTCTGAAGTGAGGGCCGTGCTTTTCTTTTTTTTCTAATTTTTATTGAAATACAGTTGATTTACAATGTTGTGTTAGTTTCAGGTGTACAGCAAAGTGATTCAGTTTTACATATATATACATATATATATTCTTTTTTAGATTATTTTTTCTCATAAGTTATTACAAGATATTGGGCTCCCTGTGCTATGCAGTAGGTCCTTGTTGGTTATCTATTTTACATATAGTAGTGTGTATATATTAATCCCAAGCTCCTAACTTATCCCTCCCCCACCCTTTCCCCTTTGGTAACCATAAGTATGTTTTCTAACTCTGTGAGTCTATCTCTGTTTTGTAAATAAGTTCATTTGTATCATTTTTTTAGATTCCACATACAAGAGATATCATATGATATTTGTCTTTGCCTGACTTACTTCGGTTAGTATGATAATCTCTAGGTCCACCTATGTTGCTGCAAATGGCACTATTTCATTTTTTTTACGGCTGAGTAATATTCCATTGTGTATACATACCACATCTTCTTTATCCATTCCTCTGTCGATGGATATTTAGGTTGTGGGCTGTGCTTTTAAACTTCACATCTCCTCCTTGCCCTCAGCTCGAGTGTCAGTCGTATGGAAACGGAGCCCACCTGGCATCTATCCTGAATTTAAAGGAAGCCAACACCATAGCAATGTACATAGGTGGCTGTCAAAGAAACAAGCCCATATGGATCTGCCTGCATGTCCTGCAGAAGGTAACCTCAGACTTGGCCCACAAATGGCCCCTTGGGAAAGCCAGACAGATAGCCCCTCTCTGGGAAACAGCCCCAGGCCTACTGACACACAACAGGTTTTCTTCAGTCACCTGCCTCCGATTGATAGAGGCCAAAGCTTCAAGGTTAGGGAGGAAACAATTTCCTCCACTTACAGACCTATCTAATTAAAGTTCTCCCACATCTTTGAACACAAAATTACCAGCTCTTCAGAGCCTTTACAAAGAAGTTTGTGGGGCTTCCCTGGTGGCGCAGTGGTTGAGAGTCTGCCTGCCGTTGCAGGGGACGCAGGTTCGTGCCCCGGTCCGGGAAGATCCCACATGCCACGGGGCGGCTGGGCCCGTGAGCCACGGCCACTGAGCCTGTGCGTCCAGAGCCTGTGCTCCGCAATGGGAGAGGCCGCAACAGCGAGAGGCCCGCGTACTGCAAAAAAAAAAAAAAGTTTGTGTAAGTATGTATGGGTATATACAAATAAACACACACACACACACACACACACACACACACCTGTTAGGAGACCAAGCTTAGTTAAACCCCCATTAGATCTTCAGTTAAAGTTGGAAACTTTCAGCTAAGCTTTTTGCTAGATGCTATCATGTTTTTTATGTTATCCTAAACTTTCTTCACTGGTCCCTCATTTTACCCGCCTCAATACCTCATAGTAAGAAATGACATGTGAGGTTGCTGAGGTCTCTATGCGGGATCTGCAGTTTACAGATTCTTTGTGGGGCTTCTATGTTAACCCCAAAAAACACAAAGAATACAAGGAGAAAAACCCCAGACTTTCTGTTTCTTTCTTTTCTTTTCTTTTGTTTTTTTTGCGGTACGTGGGCCTCTCACTGTCGTGGCCTCTCCCGTTGCGGAGCACAGGCTCCGGACGCGCAGGCTCAGCAGCCATGGCTCACGGGCCCAGCCGCTCCGCGGCATGTGGGATCTTCCCGGACCGGGGCACGAACCCGTGTCCGCTGCATTGGCAGGCGGACTCTCAACCACTGCGCCACCAGGAAAGCTCGACTTTCTGTTTCTTGATAAACTTTGCCATAGATGTTACATATATTTTATACAACGAATTTTACATTTTTATATATTCATATTGCTATCAATCAGAGCTCTCTCATTCAGAGATAGGATAAATAGTTACATCAATTTCTACCAGATTTTTTTTGTAATTTAATTTTTTTACCTTCATGACTGAGGCTAATAAACAGTCTAACAAATTGTGCGATGTCTCTAGTTATCAAAGAAATGCAAATTAGAATAACAATATAATTTGACATCAGATTATTAGACTTTTGCTTTGTCTTAATGAATAATATTTTTAAGGATAAGGAGAAATTTCCCAGTAAATGAGGATGTAAATTCCTACAACTGAACAGTTTTTGGAAAGCAGTTTGGCAATAAATATCAATAACCTCAAAATATTCATGTCCTTTGGCCATTAATTCTACTTCTGGGATGCTAGCTTTAAAGAATAATTTTAAGTACAGAAACAGCTTTGCAAATAAAGTGGTTCATAGCAGTATTCTTAGCAATAATTGTAAATTGGAAACAATGTAAACATCAATCAATAAGAGAATTAGTAAGGTAAATTATGGTGCATTCTTACCATTAAAAAATGTTTGGAATGCAAGATGCTACACAATTGAATATATATTTTAAAGGCCACCACATTTTTCAGTATATAAAACTATTGTGATAGACAAAAATGATTGCACCAAAAGTAAATATAGTAAAAGATTAGTAATGTTTTCCTCCTAGAGATTAAACGGAGTGACTTTCTTATTTTCCCGTCTTTGCACATTTCTGTGCTTTCCCAGTTTTTACAATGAGAACCATGTTTTACATGGGTCTGGGCTGTGAGCAGGTGGGCAGGCTGATGTGTACATGTCTCCCGTCTCCTGTCATTTGCAGGGGCAACAGTGGACGTGGCTCGATGGGGCCACGTATATTTACAGAGCTCTGTCTGGCAAGTCCGTGGGTGGGAACAAGTACTATGCTGAGATGAACGCCATGAACAGTAAGTTCTATTGCATCTCTTGCCAAATCGCAGCTCCTTCCCTTTCCCATTAAGAGCAAAGATGCACATTGACGCCTCTTTGCTCCATTTCACACCAGCAACTCTTTTTTCCTACAAGGCAATGGCCTTGTCGCAGACATTATTTACCGACCATTTTACAATCTTTGCCATATCACCGTACCAGCGGTTCAGTTATCAATATATTCTTTAAATCCACTCACTTTTTTCTTTCTTTTCTTTTGATTTTTAATAACTCATTTTTAAATTGAAGCATAGTTGATTTACAATGCTGTGTTAATTACTCCTGTGCAGCAAAGTAATTACATTCACTTTTCTTCTTAAATATGTTTATCTTAAAATTCTGTTACATACCATGAGGGGGAAATATGTCACATTTGGGGAAAACCAGGCTACAGGGAGCAAATATATGTGACTCCTTTCTGGCTTCTTTATAGTTAGGGTTCCGCATGAGCCCTGGAAACCTCGCCTTTGCCTGGGTTATTTCCTCATTTGTTTCTCTGAGGATGCAGTGCCTGGAACCTCAGCTGCAGGCTGCACACAATCTCTGCAGCCTCATTTCTCTTGCCTGCCTTCATTCTTTGCTTTTGTTTTGTTTTTTTTTAAGTCTTTGCTTTTTTAATGCTAATAAGCTAGGGTTTTCAGCCTTGGTACAAATGACATTTGGGGGTGGACAATGCTTTGTCTTGGGGCCTGTCCTCTGCATTGTAGGTTGAGCATACCCTAGTCACTAACCAGCAGATGCCAGTAGCATCCACACAGACACAGGGTGTTACAACAAAAAGTGTCTTCAGACTTTGCTAAATGTCCCCTAGGGGGACAAAATCACTCCTATTTGAGAACCACAGCTAATAAGTGATATGAAAAGAAAACAGAATGTCAAAGATCAAAAGCACACTTGATATGAAAGAGAACATCCCAGTGGATTTAAAAAGTCATCACAGTGTCACTAAGACTCCCCCACTAGCCAGGGGATGGGTCAGGGACACAGCCCGGACTGAGGACTCAGATACTGGGGATCAGGTGGAAAGGGAAGTGGAACAGGGTTTACTGTTGTCTGAGGAATAAAGCTTATATGCACAAAAGAGTGAGAAAACTTTCTGACAGCAAAGGATGAATGATGGCCATGTGGAGACAACCTCTGAGGCAAAGCTCTAGATAAACCCTCAGGGGTAAGTGGGTCATATCACAGACAAAGGAAGGACTTTCCACAGTCTTTCAGAGACTACAGCTGCTGCTGTTAAAGGAATAATTCATCTCAGATGGAAGGAACACACCAAGACCAATAGGTAGAAGCTACCAAAATGTGGATTTCTATCCAAACTAAGGAAAAATATTTTGAACAATCAGCCCTGTCCAAAAACATAATGGGCTACCCCAGGAAGTAGTGAGAAACCCATCACTAGAGTGAACCAAGCAAAAGTGGACATTGTAGTTGTTGTTGTAGTTGCAGCATTAAAAGTGTTAAAAGAGGTTCACAGCACATGAGAGTCAACTGAGGAACATTTTAAAAATATGAATTCCAGGGATTGCTTCAGACCGACAACATGAGAATCTCTAGGGCTGGATGCCCGACCGAGCTTCAGGGAAGCAATGGACCAGATGCCTCCCAAAGTCCCTCCCATGATCCTAAGATTTCACCTGGACAAAGTTCTCAGACAAACATCTTTCCCCTGTCAGTCCGTGTTTACATCAGCAAATTTCCCAACGACGAAGTTTCCTGTGTGGGGCTCAGAAGCCAGACGTCCACCTGAGAATGCCAGGCCATTGGACGCTACCCTTCCCTTTCGCCCAGCGCAGCTCTCCACTCTCAGAATACAGGCTCTCATGGCAGAAAAGTACAAGGAATGAAGCAAGGATTAGAAACTGGTGAAGGTAGAATGCAAAAGGACATTCCCTCAGCCTCGTCAATGTCACTTTGTATTTGTATAACAGATTTAGCCTCAGCAACTCAGTGGCTAAATTGTTTTTCTAAGATTCACAAGGTTTTTTTAGGCCTCACACTCACATCCTGTGTGTGTGCCTGTCTGTGTGACTGGCCTTGTTCCTTTTTTCTATCTATTTAGAAAGACTCTGACCCTCTGGAAAATTGTATTTCATGTTGCCTCCTGACTTATCTACTGGTCCACCTTGAGATATTAAATAATGATAACTAGGGTTCTATAACTGAAAAATAAATTTCATATTCAATATAGTTTAGGTCAAAACCCTGGGCTTGGGGCTTCGCTGGTGGCGCAGTGGTTGAGAGTCCGCCTGCCGATGCAGGGGACACGGGTTCGTGCCCCGGTCCGGGAAGATCCCACATACCATGGAGCGGCTGGGCCCGTGAGCCATGGCCGCTGAGCCTGCGCATCCGGAGCCTGTGCTCTGCAACGGGAGAGGCCACAACAGTGAGAGGCCTGCGTACTGCAAAAGAAAAGAAAACAAAACCAACGCTGGGCTCTGCATTGTGAATGCCTGGGGTTAGGAGTCCAGCTCCTGCTCTCAGCTGTGTGACCTTGACCAGATTTTTTAATTCTCTGTGCCTCAGATGCCACTCTGTAAAGGGGAAAAAATACTACTACTAATCATCGTAATATATGTCAAGCGCTTATCACGGTGCAAACTTGGCTCGTGGCTCTCGTGGCCTGGAGGGGACAGTGCATCCCTGCACTTGCCCCTCTGGTGTTGAGGAATGGAAGAAGAGAGTGAAAAGAGACACGTCCCTAAATTAGTGCCCACAGGGGAGCTTGCTAACCCTTGGTTGTGTGATGCCTCATGCCATGTTCTCTTTGCCCCGCACCATGACAGTGCGCAGAATGCTTGTCTCTCCATCTCATTTACACTCTGTGGCCCCGCTGTGGGGCCCATGGCTGCAATAATGAGCAGGACCCATCCTCTATACCTCTTGAGAACCAGGCACATGAGGGGGCGTGCCTCACCCCGCCTTGTCTGGCTGTGCCCCCCATGCCCTCTCTCTCAGGGCTCTCATCCTGAGAGCGACCTGACACACACTGGTACTGGTGTCAGGGCCAGATCTGCAAGTCAGAGCCAGGCAGACATCCAGCTGGGGAACAACTCATCATTCTATGGCAGACGCCCCAGAATGACAAGTGATTCTGTGGAGCTTGGTTTCTGGAAGGGAAATAATTGGACCTCTCTTCAAAAATACTTCAGTCCTTCAAAAGTCCTTCCTCTCAGTCCTTCTTTATAAATCAGTGGCCAGAGGGGACACGGCTGGCTTCAGCAGCTTCCAATTCTTTGAACTTCAGATGGGCTCTTTGTAGCTCCTCAGCTGTGGACGTCAGGAAAGATCACCGTCTGTTCCTTACAGCATCCTGTTTCAAACGTGAAAGAGCCTCTTGTTTTCGGTTGGTTTATGTCAAGCCCTGCCTTCCCTCAAAAGCAGTGCTGGTGTACAGTGTCTGTAATTGTGTGACATTTAAATTATTTTTCTTTCTTTCTTTCCATTAGTACCTGTTTTAGTCAGGATTCTCCGGAGAAATGGAAGAAATAGAAGGGAGAGAGAGAAAGATTGATTTATCTTAAGGAATTGGTTCCTGCGATTGTGGGGCTGGCAAATCTGAGGTGCACAGAGCAGGTCAGCAGGCTGGACGTTCCTGTGAGTTGATACTGCAGTCTTGAGGCTGAGGGTAGCCTGAAGGCAGAATTCCTCCCTCTTTTCTGTGGACCTCAGTCTTTTCTCTTAAGGCCTTCACTGATTGGATGGTTACTACATTATGGAGGGTAATCCGCTTTACACAAAGTCTGCTGATTTAAATGCTCATCACATCTAAAAAGAAAAATACCTTCACAGCAAAACGTAGACCGGTGTTTGACCAAACAACTGGGCACCGCATCCTAGCCAAGCTGACCAGTAAAAGTATGTACCTTATCCATGGGTCCAAGCAAAACACCCCGAGGTCACTGATAAGCTCAATACATAATCAGACAGATTTAAAGGTCTGTTTATTTTCTTATAGATTTTTTGACTTTCCAACACTTCCTATGCAAGTACCGACCATAGAGAAAGAATCAAGATCCTGCCAGCCCTTGCTCAAGCCCCTTTCCTCTTCCTTCTCTGCCATGCTGGCGATCTGATCGTTGTCTCGGAGAGTATACAGAGCAGCTAAGACTGATGAGGCCCTTACTGCACTGACATTTTTAAGCTCAGGGACAGGGACGTCAACATTGGTATGACAGTGTCTTCTAGCTCTAAATGTTCACCCCATAACCCCTTTCCATGGTACTCTCTTCCCCACCTCTAGCTGCCCTCAGCAGTCGAGGGGTATGCATCTCCCACCGATGAAAGAGCCAGGTCTTTGGCCATCCGGGAGAAAGAAACTCAGGAAAGAGTCTCTAGCCCTCTCCTGCTTCTGCATCCCTCTGCCCTCTCTCTATTGCCCTCATTCTCCTCAGCCACCTGCTTATTGTTCCATTTGCCATGGGGAACACTTACCAGCAGAGTCTCTACTAGGTGATGTGGACCGTAAATTCCAGGGCCACATTTTAACAGGTGGCTGTGTGCATAGAAGGCTGCTCTGTTGCACTTCAGTAGCGATGAGAGTGAAAAGGTGAAATACGACTCAGAAAACACACCCAAGTGTTTCTCCATTTCCTTCCTTCCAGTCTCTGCCTCCCGCCCCCCCCCCCCCCCCCCCCCCCCCCCCGCAGAAGAGCTCCTCCCCGGCTGCAGCCCTGGTGTGATAAAGGAGAGATGGAGGTGACGTGCCTGGCCAACCTCGAAGCAGGCTTGAGTGGGTGGCAGTTTATTTCATTGTAAGCTCTGCAGCAGGTGCAGTGGAGCTGACCTGGCCTTGGGTGCTCTTCCCTCTCCTGCTGCTGACAGCTCACGTGGTCTTGCTCGAGTCTCTTTGCCTTCCGAGGTTTGATTCTTTATGAAGTGGTGGCTCCAATACCGAGGAGGTCATTTTTTTCCTCCCTAGGTCAGGAATCTACTTGGCAATGTAAGGCAAAACAGTATGGATTTGACAATTACAGAA